GTATAGTCGTGGTCCAAGACCTGTCCTTATAACCAGATGACCCTGCGCCATGACGAAACCTTCCTGGTCCTGTTCTTACAGGTACAAAATGAAGGCACTCTCCAGCCAGACCACGCTGTTGGCTGGACTGGGAAGTGGGTATAGTGCTAGGCCACTGTGAAATGTGTTTTCTTATGGTGAGCCGGGTCTCAGTGTGAGAGAGAGGAAATGGCAGAACTCCAGGTCAATCCCAGAAGCACCTGGCACACAGGAGAGACTCAAAGATTGCTAGTGGTGGAGGTGCCGGTGACGATTTCCTGAGTGACCCTGTGCCAGGTGCATGCAGCATGCACTTTGCTAGATTATTTTTTAATCATCACAATAAGCAAAGAAGTTTGCTCCCATTACGACAGATGAAAAAAGTGAGGCTCCCTTGGTCTGTGTGAAGCAAAACCAGGAATTGCACATGAAGCTATCAGCACCCACCGGCTAGTTTTCCTGCAGTCTCCAGTGAAAACACACCACACCTAACCTGCTCACAGTTCCCCACAATGGGTCAGCTAGTTAAACATGGTAGCTGAGACTGCGGGCACCCTGCTTTGCCAACAGACACACAAGAACTGTGTTCCTCCAAGCCAACTCGGCTCATCACTCATCTCCAGGAAATGCAGCTTCCTCCTAAGCCAACCACCTATCCTGGGGAAGATCTCGCAGGATATATCAGTACATTTTGAGGCACTTCACAAGGAGAGAGGCACTTCACAAGCACTTCGTGGACCAAAGATTCTGGGAACAATGCAGAACATGGCTCACAACCACCACCCAAAACATTCGTGTCTATTTGGTTCCCAACAACACAAATAAAGGTGTTGTCAGGCACCTGCATCTTGGGAGGTCTCTCCCTGCCCACTAGATGAAACCCCAACCTGGACAGGGGAGGGTTCTTGACTCTGATCAAGAAAGAACTCACAAAGAGGTCTGAGGAGCGTAGGTAAGGAAGGAATTCACTAAGGCAAGAGTGTCAGGGAATGGCAGCAGCCGTGCAGGTAGCAGACATTAAGGAAGAACACAGAGGAGAGGGAAGCTCACTGGGCAGCTCAGCATAGGGCAGATCCCTTGCCAACTCCTGAAGCCAGGGTCACCCGGCATTCAGTGTCCACCTAAATCTGCACAGCATAGGAATTAAGCCCTTCCCACCCCAGGATCTGGGGGAGCCGCAGAGCACCGGATGGAGTGAGATGATGTTCTGAGAACTTCCCAAAGCAAAGAAAGACTTTTGGACAGGCTACTAAAGAGCTGCAGTCCTGCCCGGGTCACCCAGATGATGGGAACTTGCAAGCCCAAATCAGAGATCTTAGGAGCCCTTCCCTACTTGTCTAAAGCAGAACAGAGAGAAGACGAGTGCTTCAGTCTAGAAAACTGAATGAAGTAGCAAAGTAAGGAAAGACACCACTAGAAGAGCACAGAGACAAGGCGTAGTAAGTTGGGCAGCAAGAAGGCTTTATTTAAGGCAAAGTACATGCTCAGAGAAAGGGGAGTGCCGGCAACCTCAGAGAGGAGGCGTACTTAGAGCTTAGGATTTGTGAACTTGAAGGATTTCAAGAATGGGGCAAATGGCCAGGGGGGGCCCTCTAGAAAGCAAGGCACCATTTGAGACATGTATCGGCTTGACTTGTGGTCTCGTGACATCTACCTCCGGTGAGAGACATTGTCACGGCCATCGTCAGTCCTCCACCTGTTCTGTAAAATAAACGTAAGATTGTCTAAACTAAGATGAACACAAGTTAATGATCCTGTTCTTCTCCAAGACAGCGGTTACTCTCAGGCACTGAGGCACTGGGAACACACCGTTTAGGACTCCCTGCCACGCCTTATGAATGGCTCAGTTATTGGCTGAATTGCCATAAACTATGTTAGGAATATTATCTCCTAACTCCCTGGTTTCTAAAAAGGAATCTTAGCCTTAAGGTGGAGCCCCTCCTGTTCTTACACTACGACTTACTCATATCTCAGCATTTTTCTTCACAAGCAGGAAAAAATAATCATGATGCTTGTCCCATGTCCCTGCTGTACCTCAAAGCCTGTTTTCAGAAGCTGGGCGCTGTGGATACTCAGTCCACATCAAGCATTCTTGAATCCACTGATAAATAAAAAATATAGGCATGTTTCAAGAAGATGGCACTGCCGGGCCCAAAGTAAGTCCGGACTCCGACCTGTCTCAGCGGGAGCAGCCTGGTGGGGGTCCTACTGGGGCAGACCCTTTCTCTGAACTGGTGGGCTGCAGCAGACACCACAAAGGATGCAACTCGTTTAATTGAGTAAGACAAGACCGGACCCCAGCATCCTCAGGAGACCCAGGATGCTGTCAGTGGTAAGAAATGTAAGCAATATTGGGACCTGCAAATTCGTGACGTTGCTCCAGGAAGAGCGTGCAGAGGGCATGTGGCTGGGGAAGGCTCAGTCAGGGAGGCGACAGGAATGGTCACAGGACCCCTTTACTACCATTCTCTCCTATGCTGAGTCATGATCCTCATGGACTATGCTTCTCTCCCCCTCCTTTTCCCTGCCCTCCACCCTTCCCTCTCCAGGAAATGGCCACACCAATGTTCAAACTCTTGTGATGGCTTCGGTTGAAGCCTCACTGCAAAGTGTGGGGCTCTGGTATAGACCCCATCACCCGATCCTGCTCTTCTGGGTCATCTGTCCCTAACTGCATTGAAATGATGCTCAAACACAGGAATCCCACTGAAGGGGGAAGGAAGGGGACACAAACACAAGACCAGGGGGTCACATGCCAAAGTCCTTATAATATTTATGCGACAATACCCCCAAACTCTCCCTCACCCCCACACTGCGTGAGCTTAGCCATGTTATTAATACTTTCATGATAGAACATGCAGGCAGAAGAGAGAAGGGCTTTGATTCTACAAATCACCTTTTACTGATGGGCTTCCTGAAGGTCCCACACAGAGCAATGGTGAGACGGGCTTTCTTTGCGCGGAAGGGGCATGCTAGGGATCGACCCCAAACTGAATGCTTCCAAGTAAAGGCAAGTGGGGCATTGCAGGGCCCCTGCCAACCCCACGCATGCCCCGTATCCTGGGGGCCAACCCCTCCCTGGGGGTCTGTGGGATCTGACCTCACAGGACTGTCCCTCGGGACCTGCTCACACTCCCAGGGACACCACGTTAGGACAGAAGCCTTCCCTCTGGCATTGACTCACCGCACGGTAACCCAGCCTAGATGGTGCCCATTCCTGCTCCTAGAAGGCTCACACCAAGCCACGCAGGAGGCAACGGGTCCTCTGTTCTTTGGAGATGCCCTAAGATTCTCCAAAACCGTGAGGACGCAGTATCTCCTAACCAATGAGGCAGCTTCCAGGACATGATAGGAAGAGCCTAGAAACGTGTACAGAAAAAGAGTACATTCCCCTCCTCCGCCCACACCATTTCATTCTGAGCTTTCCTCTGAACCACCGGGACCAGGCACCACCCACCGGACTCCCCACTGCCCTCCTCTGAGCCTCGCACACCCTGGTCACCAGAAGGCATCTCAGAGAACATCCACACTGAAGCCCACGGTTCATGCCAAGGTGGTTTATTTCAGAGCCTGCAGTGCTGAAGCTCTGGAGTTTGGAAGGTCATTCTCAACAGCCGCTTCCGCCAGGCCCAGTGGAGAGCACCTGGCAGATGGAGGTGGTGCTTCTGCAGAAGGCAGGATGCAGCCGCTCCGCAGGTGGCGCGGCCGCAGGTGTGGGAAAGGGGCGAGCCGGCACTTTCCGTGCCAAAGGTTCAGAGGGCGCACAGTTGCTCGGTGGCCAGTGCCACTTAGTCACCACCAAGGCCCAAAAGCACACTGTGGAGGGGAGAGAGAAAGCAGGCCCACCCCCCTGGCAAACAGGGTGGAGGAAAGGAGAAGGAAAGTCAGCAAAGCAAAATCCACAAGCAGAGGGGCAGCAGGCGCTCCGTGCCCGAGCCCCACCTCTCCCCTGGAGAGGCCAGCGTGCCTCACAGGCCGGGGCCTGGGGAACCAAGGGACCCCACAGCACTGGCAGCCGTTTCCCTCTGCCCCGCCCCGGGTCGGCCCTTCTCAGCGAGCTGAGGAATCTCAGAACAGCTGAGCTGGGAAAGGCTAAAGAGTTTTCACGCAAAGCAAGGGTGCAGACAAAAAGTAGGCAGAGATACAAACCCTGCAGGAAGCCAGGAAAGAAAAGGGCGATAAAAAAAAATACAAAACCCTTTTCCAGAGAGAGTGGAGTCCCAGGGCCCCAGAGGCACAGCTCTTAGATGTCAGCAGAAGCATCTCAGCTGCGGCAAATAACCTCCACCCCGGGGGAAACAGCAGAACGGGGGGCCTCTATCAGCCTGCAAAGCCCGCCCAAGACCTACTTCTGGAAGCCAGCAGGCAGGTGCCTGGGCACCCAAGCTCTGAGAGAAGCCACCCCCAAACCCACAGCCCACACCGGGGAGGGGCCTTCGCTCCGTAACCCCCCCAGGCTACGTGGGTTTCTCTTCCAGCCTGGCCTAGAACAACTTCAGATAGAGTCCCTGACAGATGGGCTTTTTTCCAGCCAACCAACCGCCATTCATTTGAATTACCACAGTGATTCTTTTAAATTCTAAGACCAACATTTCTAAGACCGACGATGTAAAATTAGGACAGGGCAAAGAAACACACAATGGATGGGACTAACCAAAGGCTGCCTGGTCCTTTGCCAAACTTCAGAGAAGGAGAATTCATTTTAAGTGAATATGCACACACATACACACACACACACACACACATATATACACAAGCATACGTGTGTACAGGTTTTTCCCTGATATTCAAAATTCTTTGTGAACCAGCCAGGCCTAATTCTGTTGAACCCGTTTCTTTGAAAAGGAAGGAAAAGGCACCACAGGCATGTGTACACCTCTGCTGGGGTCTGGCCAGCTGTACACACTTTCACTCTGAACCTGGACGCAACGATCGCCCACATAAGGCCAGAACCTGACCACGCCCAAAAAACCACAGCAGGGTCCAATGTCCAGAAGGTCTTAGATCCAGAAAAGCAGAATATCAGACATTACAAAAATAAGCTGAATATCCCACAGGCTTTTTTTAGGTTCTTGATAACTTCTGATCTCTTTACTTTTGTCAACATTTGCCTTAGCAAAATTTCTTAAGTCAACATATTTCTACCCTTTGCCCCTAAGCAAGGCAGAACTCTCTTGAGGAGGAAGAAGGGGTGACATTTCAGAGGGGCACCCAGAGGTTGGTAGAGGCGACTCTTCTGTGGTGACATTCTGAGCAGATGTTCAACACACACAGCTGTGCCAGCGTTTCACAAATAATGTTCGCTTTGGTTTCGACACCGCAGACGAGACAGCTTCCAGATCCTCCTCCACACCCCAGGCTGCAGCTGACCACCTTCCCATCGGGCGCCAATGTGCTGGAAAACACAGAGTTTTACCTACAAGAAAAGGAAGAATGAGTCAGCCCTCCAGAAGAGCCCTGCATCCACTCTGATGCTTCCCTAACAGCCTCCATCCTGCAGGCCACACTCCCCAACCACAGGACCTTTGGATGTGCTGTCTTGAATGTGTATTCCACTCCTCCAGGCAACTTCCTCCCTCCCCTCAGCTCCCAGCTCAGGATCATTGCCCAGCTCCCCACAAATACCCTCTCTTTTCTCCCTGTACCCCTCCTTCCTAGCACTTCGACAGGTGTTCACACCCAGGCTCAGCCAAATTGTTCTGTGAAAGTCCAGAAACAAATATTTTCGACTTCACGGGTCCTACGATCTCTGTGGCAACTACCCAGGCCTGCCACCGTGGGGCAAAAGCAGCCATGGAGGGTATGGACATGCTTGAGTGTGGCTGTATCCCAATAAAACTTGACTTACAGACACTGAGATCTGAATCACATATAATTTTCACATACCACGAAATGTTAGCCTTCTTTTCATTCTTTTTTCAACAATTAAAAATGTAAAAATCACTCTTGGTTTGTGAGCTGCACAAAAAGGAGCAATAGCCATATTTAGCCCACAGACCACAGTTTACTGCCCTCTGGCTTATGTAGTTATATGACTCACATCTGTCTCTGGCTTAGGCTGGGAGCTCCCTGCAAGCAATCCTGGGATCTGAGCTTGCTCTCCTGTACACACCAATGCCAGGCACGGTATCAGACACCACAGGGGGTGCAAGAGATATCTGTACAATTAGCCAAAGAAAGCTTAAAAACTACCTCAGCCATCGGAGCGCGTGGGGGTGTACACTTTATACACCGCCAACACACCGGCTGGAAATTCACCCTCATGGGTGCCCCAACAGTAATGATCTGGTGACACCCCAGAAGCCTCCCAGGGGACCTCTGCAGGTTCCCTGCCTGCGCCCCACCCCACACCCACCCCTGCAGCTGTTCACACCCCCTGTGCCCATGACAATTCCTCACCCACGAGGAAACTCATGCAGGTGGAGGGAAACAGGGCGGTCGGAGGGAGCCCCACCTTGCGTCATGGGCAGGGCACGTTCCTGGGCCGCCTTCCGCAGCAGAGCTAAACCTCCAGGGCTGCTACAGGGTGAGGGAAACAGCAGCTCTTCCGCACACCTCCAGGGGGAGCACTCAGGGCACCTGGGAACCACCCCCTGAGGTCAGCATAGCTGCAGAGACCAGGGTGGGGAGGCTGGCTATCAAGCCCCCATCACCTCAGGTATTATCCCCGCCTCCCTGCGGCCATGAAGCTGCAGGGGTCACACAGGGGGTGCAGAGGTTCACAGCTGCTGCTCGCTGGTCATCTCTGCGCTGCTTTAGACCGCACACATGGCCCCGCTATTCCTTCTCCTGCAATGCCCTCACCCGCCTGCCTGGTGATCCACTTTGGGGCACTTCCTGGCCCTTCCAAACCTTCCATCAGCTTCCCCTCCTCTTGGAAGAGCTTCCTGCCCAGGAGAGGTGCCTTGCTGGCTGCCCACAGCCCCCAGTTCTCTCCTCCCTGTGGTCTCAGGCCATCTTGTAAGCGTCACTGCCCTAAGCTGTCTCCCCATCTCTGCACAAGCTCCTGGGAGACGGAGCCAGATCTGCCCACCTCGCACTCACAATGACCAGATTAGCAGGCTCACGAGCTAGACACATGCCGAGGGTGATGGGCAGAGACTCTAAGAAGACTCTCTCCACCCCTTTCTCTCCCCAGAACAGCCAGACTGTTAATGACATTCCTGCTTCACAATGAAGATAAGCCAGACGGTCAATGCCGACTGGTCCCACCCTCCCAGGAAGCTCCGTGAGAAGAAAAGGCATGCTTACTCCATTCACATGTCCAACTGTCCTGCACCACGATGCTGGGTTATCACCAAGCCAGGGAAGGGGAGGGACATGCGCCAACCTGGCCTTGCCCATGTTTCCTCTGTTGGCAGACAAAAGCCCTCAATGGGGGAGCACCTGTCCAGCACCCTGGCAGCTGACCTCCGTGCGGCAGGCGAGCACGCCTCGCGAAGATGGCACAGGACTTGCAGGAATACATGACAGGGAAGTTGAGGGAGGCAGCAATGCCCCATCTGTGAGTGTGTGCAAGGAGAACACCCCATGGGTGGGGCGGCCCTCAGCAGTCCCACCTCTCCTCTCGCATCCCAGGACACCAGACATGGTAAAGAACAACAAAAAAACGTGGCTGGCTTTTGCAAAAGCATTTCTAGTTAGGGGGGCTTGTGCTGTTTCCCTTTTCTTTTTCTCTTTTTTTTTGCCTGATTCTCATGCAGCGCTATAAACTCTATGTGGGTTGGGGGGTAGGAAGCTGAATAAGTGAGATTCACTCAGTGATTCAATAAGTGAGATGTCACATTTTCACTGCCACACAAATTCCTGTTCACATGGGCTCCCTCTTCATAGACATAAAACTCAAATAGTTTTAAGGTGCATGATACCTTAGTTGAAAACTACCCCAGATTGCCAATACTTTTTTTCAAAGAAACAAAAATGCCTCATGAGATGCCCATTTTTAACAAATAAACTCAGCATTCTGCAAAAGAAGAGGGCTGGGAGAGCTCTGTGCAAACTCATACGGGGATGACCCCCAGTGCTGCTTCAGGTCCATGTAGGATACCCAGTATCCTCAGGGAAGCCTGCAGGTCACCAAGTCCCCTCTGCTTCCTTCCTGGCCTCAGAAGCACATGATACCCAGCCATCCACATGCTGATGTCCTAACAGCTTTGAGCCTCATCCTCCTCTACAGATGAAGAGGCATGAGGTGGGCAGAAGGGCCTTCCCAGGCCCCCTCTCGAGACGTCACCTCCTGGCCTCAGGAGCACATGATACCCAGCCATCCACATGCTGATGTCCTAACAGCTTTGAGCCTCATCCTCTACAGATGAAGAGGCATGAGGTGGGCAGAAGGGCCGTCCCAGGCCCCCTAAGTATGCTTCACAACTGCCACAGGGTGTCCACTGGGACACTGAGCCCCCAGCCTCAGTCTAGGACAAGCAGTCAAATCCATTTTTTCCTACTGCCAGCCTAGCCTCCAGGGGCCTCTTTCTGCAGACAGCCACTAAATGCCCTTTGTTCCAAAGACAAGATACCAGGGGCAGCTCCTGGCATCAGAGCGGGAACCTCATCGGTTACTAGTTATAGTCCCACAGGAAGAGGGTGGGAGGCAGATATTTCTAGAACCTCTGTCCACACCTCCACAGGCCACATCTTTTGCAAACCTAAGGAGCGGCGGAACAGAGCTGCCCCTCCATGCAGGAAGGCAGGGCTGGCAGAAGCAGCAGTCTCTCCCAGCAGCGTGCTTTGAGCTGCCCTGGAGGACACAGGGTATCACAAACGTCTCCTGTAATAAACCGGGGATGTGCAGATGCCCAAAATAGTAGCCACAAATGCATGCTATGCCGAGCAAGCTCAAAATGCATCCAGCCAGGGATCAAACACCTCTCGAAATAGGGAACCATTTCGAAACACTCAGATTCTCTGTACTACATTTAGCCAGCATTATGCTCTTCTAATTAGCCTCGTTAAGTACAAAGCTGGAACCTCATTTCTACAGCCTTTTTTCCCTCCACATCTGGCCCTAAACATCAGAGGTCTCATCTCATGGATGTGAACATCCCATTTCCATGGTTGCCTAAAAAGAGGGCCTTGCACAGAAACCTCACCCTACCCGCCTTATCACCACCTCCTGCCAGGCTGATGCATTCGGGCTGTCAGTCACAGGTGTTATTGGAGAACTACACAGAACGGTAAGAGTCAAGTTACTGCCTTACTGCCCTGGCACCAAAAACATGATTTTCCTCTTTGCACTCACTCATAAAATAACCAAAGGTCATGATCCAGCTGCATCCAGTTTAAAAGCAGTCTGTTTCCCAAAGAGAACCAAAAAATTTAGTTGAGCTATGTCTAAACAGGAAACATAAGTAAGTACCTGTGAACAAATTTTCATGTGCAGATGGGCAAGTTCTCAAATACAAGAGACAGCACATAAAACTGGCCTTAAAATTCTTGCCCTTTCAAACTTATTGACTTGAAAAGTTGTTTGTGATATGTCGCTTGGGTAAGAATATGTTCCAAAATGGCATGTGCAACATGGTCCTAGTTCTATAAGAAAGAAAATTGCACAGACAGGCGCTCACACACACTCCGGTGGCTATCGTTCAGTGGCAAGATCATAGGTAATTCTATTTTCCCTTTCCCTTATCTGTAACGTTTATACCATACATTACGTCTATAATAATGAGAGCTATTACTCGGTCCTTCTAAATGGTCGGTCTTCTTTGGGCCTGAGGACTAGAGTGGTCTTACATCTCGTTGAGTCCCCTCCAGCAACCACAAACAGCACAGACTCCTAACAATAGGTACTGGAAGTTCAATTCTTCAAAACAAACAGGGCAGCAGGATAGTGCCTGGGAATGACCAGGGAAGCCCGTGGGGGGCAGCTGAAGCAGACAGTTACAGAGTAAGTGCTTATATCAGGAAAGAAGGCTGGAGATGAAGGAGCTAAATACTTAGAAAAACATTAGGAAAAAAGAACAGAACACCTCTAAAGAAAGCATAAGCAAGGGGAGCAGAAATCAACTGAAATTGAAAACGGTAATAGAGAGGATCAAAGAAACCAGATTTGGCTTTCTGTGTCAAGTAAAATTAGACTTCCTGCAAAACCGATCAAGGAAAAGAAGAGAAGGCAAACATGACCACTGTTAAGAATGAAAGGGGATGGTGATCCCACATAACAGAGATTAAACATATAAGAGAATGTTGTGAACCACTTTAGGACAACACATCTGAACCCTTAGAGGAAATGGACAAAGTCCCAGAAAAATATCCCAACAACATCCCATCAAAACTGACCCAAGAAGAAATAAAGGCTAAATACTCCTATGAATATTCAAAGAATTGTACACCAGTAGTTTTTAAAAGTCTTTGCACGAGGAAAGCATCACGGCCCAGCCAGTGTTAGCACTTTCTATGAAACATTAAGGAAACAAATCATTCTCATCGGATATAAACTCTTCCAGAGAAAAGGAGAATAAGGAGTATGACTCAACTTGTTTTATGGCGCCAGAAATTCTGGCAAAGCATGACAAGGATATTGCAAAGCAGGAAAATGACAGACCAGTTTCAGTCACTGAGAGACACAGGGAAGACCCACACAAAATGCCAGCAAATGGAACGCAACAATGCAAATAAAAGGGCACCGTAACCATGACCACGCTCGCTTTCATCGCAGGAATGCAAAGTTGTGTTAATGATAGACAAATCAACGCATGTAAATTCACCATCTTAACCAATTAAAGGAAAAACTAGGAGCCTCTCAATAGAGCTAATAAAACTTGACATTTGCAAACTAGGAATAGAGAGGGAAACGACCTGGACAAAAAAATTAAACAAAACCCTACTGCGAACACTCCTTTGAGTGGTCAGTTTTGAAAGCATACCCTTTAAGATCAAGAACATGACAGGGCGACGACGATCATCATTTCCATTTAACAATGACTTAGAGGCCAAGAACACAGAAAGTATTAAAAAAAAGAGAGAGAGAGAGAAATAAAACATTGAAGGACTTTGGGGGTGGAAGAACTATTATTATTCTCGGATGATGTATCCATATAAAAGAAAATCCCCCATTTATACTACCAGAATTAATAAGAGTTCAGCAAGCTGCTGGATTTTTTTTAAATCAGCATTTTAAAAAATCAACTGCATTTCTGGACACCATGAACAGAAAGTGAGAAAATGATATTTTTAAAAAGGTATCGGAGACAAAGTCATGAATTAGGCAACAGCAGCTTGTTGAGAAACTGTCTTTGAAGCTGTCCCCAAGTGACACAGAGAGAAGCCAGCAGCCCCAGAAGCAGAAACCCAGGCGTGGAGATTGATCCCTCGGGACACTGGGTTTACTACAGCCATGATCTGGGTGGAAGACTAAATAATACAAATGGTTTGCCAGGTCCTGAGTTTCTGCCTAGATCGAGGGGGAGGAGACATACCAAGGTGCCTGGGGGGCCTAAAACAATTCCTAAGGTGGCATTAAAAATCACCACTTTTCAATTAAAGGGTGTCAAAGGGCTCCATGCTATTGTCAGAGGCAGACAGAGTGCCTGCTATTAAAATGGCCAAGGAAAATGCCCCAGAGGAGGCCTGGACACAGGGGTCCTCACCTGCATTTGCCCTTCCAACAGACCAGAGAGCAGACTCAGCCTTTCTTTCCTTTTTTTTTTTCCTTTTTTATTGGAATACAGTTGATATATAATCCTATATTGATTTTAAACGTACAACGTAGTGACTTGATCATTAAACATGCTACTAAATGCTTACCGCAGGAAGTGTACATACCCTGTTACCATACCAAGATTTTACAGTATTATTGGTTATATCCTCTATCCTGTACTTCCATTCCTATGACTGATTTATTTTTTATAATTTCAAGTTTGTATCTCTTTATCCCCTTCACCTACTTCGCCCATCCCCTGCCCTCCACCCCTAATGCAAGCAACCCTCTGTTCTCAGCATTTATGGGTCTTAGAAAGTGGCAAGATTTCCTTCTTTTCTACAGCTGACTAATCTTTCAAAAAATGAAAGTATTACCTTTCACCTTAGTGCCTACCAGGTGGTCCCACTTAATCATTTGCCTTTAGAAACAAAATCACTATGTCGAAGAGCTATCTGTACCCCCACGTCCGTAGCAGCATTATTCACAACAGGCAAGATGTGGAAACATCCTGAGCATCCCTTGGCCCTTGAATGGGTAAAGAAAATGTGATATGCATATATGTGAAAATGGGATGTGTGTGTGTGTATAAATGTACATATATCATGGAATATTATTCCCCACAAAAAGAAAAAGGAAATCCTGCCATTTACAACAGCATGGATGGAATTCCAGGGCATGATGCTAAGTGAAATCAGTTAGATGAGGAAGACAAATACTGTATGATCCACTTATATGTGCCATCTAAAAAAACAAATTCATAGAAAAACAGATGAGACTTGTGGTTAACAGGGGTGGGGGTGGGGAGGGGAGGGGGAATTGGAGAAAGGCGGCCAAAAGGTACAAACTTCCAGTTATGAGATAAATAAGTACTAGGGATGAATACAGTTCACAGTGCTGTATGGTATCTTTGAAACTTGCTAAGAAGGTAGATTCTAAAAGTTCTCATTGTACATCTTAAGCTTACACAGTTTTGTATGTCAATTCTATCTCAATAAAACCAGAGACAATAAGTGAAAATTAAAACATTTTTAATCATTTGCCTTTGGCACTGAGTTTCTATTTTCACAGCAATGTCAACCCAGCACTAACTGTCAGCCTAGAAGAGGAAGGAACCTGCTCCATTTTTGAAGCATTGAGACCAGTTGTGGAAGTTTCTTAATCTGACAGTGGTTTCAAAATGTACTTTCTCTGCCTTATACCAGACACAATATCAACCTAGCAGTCTTCATAATGCCTGTATTTAGGTACTCAGGAAAGGGCTCCTTTTTCCACCTTATTCTGAAGTATGAGTCTATAGACAGGATTTCTGGACAAATTATAATATTTCTTTGGTGTTTTTTTCTATTTTGTGACATTTGAGGCTACCAGAGAAATATGGCTCAGTGTATCAGTTCCCGTGCAGTTAGCTCGGTCACCAAATATGGTTGAGATTCTGTTCAGTGGCTCAGAACCAAAGCAGTTCGTTGGCCCACTTAGGCCATCAAGTGCTCCCTGTCGTATAATACCCCCAGGCCTGCACAATGCAGCACTTCTCACTGTGTCCCATCATGAAGAAGATGTTCTTCGCATTAAATTCTGGGTCTGTGCTTTGAATGTGGGACAGAACAATGGTTTAGAATAAAACTGTCTAGTCTAGAAAAAAAGAGTACCGTCACTAAATTTCTTGGGTGTGTATTATTTTGCAGTATGCATTAATATTACTAATTATTTTGGTTCTTCTCAAAGGGTACTACTCTTTACCCCAAATGCCAATTACAGCTAATGCTCTGTGTCCCCACTCTGCTGTTTATAACCAAACCATGTTTACATGTTCATTCTTTTTTTTTTAACTTTTTTATTAAGGTATTGATATACACCCTTATGAAGGTCATCACATGATAAAACAATGTGGTTACTACATTTACCCATATCATCAAGTCCCCACCCAGACCCCAATGCAGTCACTGTCCATCAGTGCAGTAAGATGCCACAGACCCACTACGTGCCTTCTCTGTGCTGCACTGTTCTCCCCATGACCCCCACACCATGTGTACTAAACATAACACCCCTCAATCCCCTTTTCCCTCCCTCCCCACCCACCCTCCCACACCCCTCCCCTTTGGGAACTGCTCGTCCCTTCTTGGAGTCTCTGAGTCTGCTGCTATTGTATGTATATTCTTTATAAAATTTGGGTATGATTCATTAATGAACTATTTCCAATATTGGTATGTATGTAAACATGATAGTACAGCCATTTTTTTCAGACAACATGAATACAAATAAAATAATACTTTTTAAGCAAAAAGCTTTACATAAAAAATACTTTTAAAAAATCAATTTATATATATATATATACACTATATACACATATATAGAAATATGCATATAAACAAATGTAAAACCCCTAGGAATACATCTAACAAAAATTTATGAAATGTTTAGAGGGAGAACCTTATCAGCAGGCTGAGTAGAATGGACTGTGGTGAGCCTCCCCCAGCATGGGTGGGCCTCGCATGATCAGTCAGAGGCCTGAACTGAGCTGGAGAGAACTCCCTCCTTCCCTCCGCCCGACAGCCTTGGCGCTGGGACGTCCGTCAGTCTTCCCTGCCCTTGGCCCAGGACTTACATCAGCACCTGTCCTGGTTCTCAGGACTTGGACCTTCATCATAAATCTCTTTCTACACATATATCCCGGTGGTTCTGTTTCTCTGGAAAACCCTGGGGGGGAGCTCAGGATGGGTCCTGCCTGGATTTGCGATTCCCCTTTGTTACCAATAACTGGGGCATTGGGCAAGCGCCTTCCCCTTCCCTGGGCCATCGAGCCCTTCTGTCTAAACTATGCTCCCCCGAACCCCTATGCTGAGATACTCACGTATCTGATGAACATCCGAAAAGGATCTGGAAACTGCACTACACTTGTGAAGTCACAAAGTCGTTCTGACCTTCCTACAGGCCACCTGTGGGAAACTCCTCTGTCTTTGGGGCTCATGGGTAAATCCCATGAAGGGAGCAACCCCTGCTCCCACCCCACCCCCCGCCCTCGGCTACCAAGTTAAGGGAAGAAGCTGAGACAGAGGTTCCCGTCTGTGTGCACGGCGAGCGCCACACGCAGGTGCCTAGACCAGATGCCCTCAGCCAGTGCACGGCAAGCTTCCTGTCTGGAATTCAGCCCCTTCTCCTCACTGAAAGCTGACCTCTGGAGTGCTCGCCTTTGTGAAAAGTAGGGAAGCACCATTTCTCTGCAAGCATTTCTCTGCTGGCTTCCTGGGTGCTGTGCGGTCAGAGCAGCTCTACCCATAAGCGCAACACCCCAAGTAACCAAACACGTAACCAAAGGATAAGAACTACAGATGCCAGGCGGGACCTCTCTGTGTTGCAAAGGTGAACCCTCTGCCACCCAGTGCCCTCGGGCCCAGAGGAAGCCTCTGCCCCCGTGCCATACCTGTATTTGATGTCAAATACTGTGGAGTCCTCGTCTTCGTCATCCTCTTCGTTCAGTGGGGCCATTTCCACTCTCTCGGCGGGGGTGGTGATGATGTCATACTTGCGGGTTTTCTTCAACCTCCTTCCGGACCTGGGAGAAGAGAAGCACGTTCCTGAGAACTCCGCCGTCCCACTGATGTAAGTAAGCCCCGCAGGTGCTGCCAGCCCGGCTCCCGGGAGCCCTGGGTGATACCCCCATTCCTCCACTTCCAGCCCTGGGGCTTCAGGCAGGGTGCTGGCCTCGCCAACCCTCGTGGCCCTCACCCACAACGTGGAGATGATTAGACCTCCCTGAGCACTGGAAAACCAAACCCAGCCACCAGGGTAAGTGGTACCCACATGCAATAACTTCAGAAGGCAAGATGAATGCAAAGAAAATCCACTATGAGCACAAGATCAAACTGTCCAGTGAGGTCGGGATCCAGCCCTGCGCTTGGATGGTCATGACACACCTGTCCCCTTCCCCCTCACCCCGTCACCCTTCCTGGCCTTTCTGGGTTGGCAGATCACTGCCCCCAAGGACAGGTGGCACAGCCTGGAGTGGAGAGGCCGCCCCACAGGCCAGCCAGTTGGGATTTGGGTCAGGGCCCTGGCACTGTCTATCTATGTGAACATGGGCAGGTTGGCTAATGGGGTAAGAATGGTATTTGCCCTTTCCAGTCTAGGGAGGATTAAATGAGATGATGCATTTAACCAGTCTGTACAGGAGGCTCTTAGCAAAAATGACTGTTAGTAAAAATAATAAATGGAAGTGCTATAGCCTCTGTTGTATGGCACAGACTTTTAAAAATGAGTCAATACTGTTTCCATCCTGAGGATTTATGAGTACTGTGAGTTCTAACACTTAGCTTTTCCTCTGGGATGGCAGAGGGTCACTGTGGGCCACAGGGAAAGTGCTGAGACAGCCCTCCAGTCTCTGGCATTAGGGTCTCCACGTGAAGGATGCGATACGTATCAGGGCATGGCTCAGAGTTTATTATGACAGGGCAGGAAATAACACTATTATTATGACTACCGTGCTGTTTGCATTTGTTTCTCCACTATCTGAGCTTTCTCCCAAATGCCCTGTACTCTCTGGTATCTCTGCCTTTTAAGTATACGTGATACTGTCTACAAAAACCAGCCAACTCCCAAAAATCATAAATGGGGCACTGAAGAATCAAATGCTCTAAGCATTCTTCCTGCAGACTATAAGCCCTCTCCAGGTGGTGACCATGTCAGAGACACACAGAAGATCTCTTTGTCCTCAGCACACAAAAACTCCTCAGTACATTTGCAAAATAATGAAGTAAGTTCACTTTTTCAGGTTTCCTAGTAATTTCCTAGCAACAACACGCTTTTGTCTTAGCTGGTATGATTTACTAAAAACATGGTCTATGAAAGTGTCATTTACATAGAAAAAAATGTATGTTTATCTGTATCTTTGGCATAAAGCAACCTATACAGCCTGCTGTACCTGCTCCTCGTGCTACTTTGGGTAAAAACTTTGGGCAAAAATATACAGTGGAAAACCCCCAAACTTCATCTCAAAGCTGGTTGTTTCATCACAAGTGTGCACGTGCACACACACACACACACACACACACACAGAGGCATAGGAGTGAGACTGCTTGGATTTTGAACATGGGATCAAGCACGGTGCCAACTTCAAGCCTGGTGGTGAGAGGTGAGGGGGCACAGCCAGTCGCCTCCCCAGTGGCCCTGGAACAATGGTATTTAGCAAGCAGGCTTTGTGCAGAGTAAATGCTAATCTTATAAACACCTTGGGTCCACACTCTTAAAAAAAGAACCATCAGCAGGTTCTTCTCTTCTCTCTACTCTCCCAGAAGGAGTAAAATCAATCTTTGCATTCTGCCCTAGAAGGCTGCTACTCCCTCACCAATTCCAACCAATCCCGTATGAAGGAACGAGAGGCCCAGAAACGGCTCCATATGCCACAAGTAGCCCAAGACAAAGCCACAAGGAGAAGCACCCATCCCCAAGCCCTTGTGACCTGGGTCAGCTCCCCACCTACGCAGACCCACACTCCACCTTTCTCAGGAAAACAGCCCCATTTCACCACCCAGATGATTCACAGCTGGTTAGAGGAAGCACCCGGCTTTGCAAAGGACTGGGGCTTGCCCTTCTGTGGACTGTGCTGTGTGGCCGGGCTGCCCATTCCCAACACAAATCTGAACAAACCTCTGGAACGCTAGAAAAGGAGATGTCCTATGAGTCCGAGGATTTGACCAAGCCCCTAGTGGATGCCCACAGAGCCTGCCACCCAGGCGGCTTCAGGCTAAGGAGGCCTGTGTGTAGCTCTTTTTCAGCTATCATGAAGCTTAGGACATGCAAAATCTGATTCAAAAACCTTGCTGTGCACTTGGAACTTGAAATCTAGTTCAGTCATTGGTCCTGGTGCAGGACTGACAGCCAAACCTGGAGGAAGGTTCTGGAAGCTCTGACTTCAGCCCCGCTTCGTGGGAGTGGATCCCCACCACCAATAAAATTACCTTCTTCCTAATTGTTTCTAGAGTTTGGCAATGAGAAAAGTAACCTATTTAAGACCCCTGACAGTTACCCACAGGAGAAGATAGAAACCACCAGCAGCAGCTAGAACTTCATGGCCTACTTACTGTAATGCCAGCCTTTCCAACCATAGAATCACAGAATATAATCTTAAACCCCAAGATTACACTAAAGGTGTGAGGGTTAATTTTATGTTTCAACTTAACTGGGCCACAGGCTGTCCAGACGTGCGGTCAAACATTATTTCTGGGTGTTTCTGAGAGAGCGCTTCTAGATGAGGTCAACATTGGAACTAGTGGACTGAGAAGAGCAGATCACCCCCACCCCACCACCCGTGTGGGTGGGCCTCGTCCAATCAGCTGTAGGCCTGCACTGGGCATAACGACTGACCCTCCCACAAGTAAGGGTCAGCTCCACTGTTTGACTGCCTTTGAGCTGGGACACCATTGGCTTTTTTTCTGCCTTCAGACTCAAGCTGAAACATTAGTTCTTCAGCCTACAGCCTGCCTGCCCTGGGACTGGAATTTATACCAGGGGCTCACTCAGTCTCCAGCTTCCTGCTCACACAGCAGATCTTCAGACTTACCAGCATCCATAATTGCATGAGACCATTACTTATAAATTGATCATATTAAGATAATAATATAATTGATGTGATTAATGTACTGATAACATGATAGATTATATACTAATATATAATACAATTAATAGACCTTACTTATATATGCATATACACACACATATATACACTCTTGGTTCTGTTTCCCTGGAAAACCATGACTAACCTAAAAGCCCATCAGCAAGAGCCTTCACACATGCTTCAAATGTCAGTTTTGACATAATGAGCTCAAGAAATTATGGTTTAATCAACTCTCTGAGACACAGCACCCTTCACCGAAGAAGAGCATTTTCACATCTCCACCATTGGACATGCTAAGGAGGAAAAACTGGAACTTGCGGGAAGTTCGAAGAGATTGGGACTTGGGGCAGAGGGTCCCAGCTGCACTGCCAAGCGCCTCCAGGGTCAGCTGGGTGGGCAACCACACAACATACGCGTGGGGTGAGGTGTGGCAGGATGGGGGGGATCTTCACATATTTCTCAGATTAAAAAAGTGAACCTTCCTTAACTCGCTGTGTGCGAGTCAGAAGCCGGAAATGAGCGTGTCCCACAGACCTGGAGACGCCCCAGGCGAATTGTCCTGGGGCCAGAGAACGGTGCTGTCCTGCCTCGGAGGGAGAGAATATGACAGCTCCCGAAGCCTAAATAACCTTGCCAGGTCCTGCTCTCTCTTCTCTGAGTGTCTTTCCAAATTAATAATAAATAGTCCATAATAGCTGAGCTCTTCCGAGGTGCCAGCTAAGCAATTTACACACGTGATCAAATGTAAAACTTATTAATCACTCTATAAGACACTGTTTGTTTTTCCTCTTACAGCTGAAGAAACTGAGGCTCAGATAGGTTGATGTCTCCACGGCCAAGGTCCAGGGGCTGCCTCCGCATGAATCCCCTGACAGGTCACCTTCAACCACCTCATGCCTGCCAAGAGGCCAGACACCTTTCCCTCCCTACCTCCCACCCCTCCTCACCGCAAGCCCCACTCCACACCCCCAGCAGATTTCCCAAACTCTTGACTCTAATACCAAGAAACTCTGCCCCCGTTACATTTTCTGGAACTTGCCTCTTAGCACAGCTCACACATTCCTATTTCAAATTGATCTGGGCACATGTCCAATAAGCTCATTCTAAATTGTGACTCCCTGAGGACAGGTACTGGTTTGGGGCGGGCCAGCACCCACCTCTTCCTCTTTTTGGCACCTGTGTCCTCAGTAGCCTCAGTGAATCTGCCTCCCACACAGTCCCCATGGATAGAGAGGCCCAGCCACCGACCACAGCGCGGCTCCAGGAGTGGACTTACACCCGAGCCAGTCAGTGTGTTGCAACCCCCAGGACCTGGCAATAGGGGGTAGGGGGTACCCGGCCAGTCAGAGCCCATGACCCTTTGCTAGGAAGGCTGGAACAAGGGCAGCACATGCCCCACCCTGGAAAGCCAGATGGAGGGAGCCACCTTGCCACCTTCTAGAAACGGAAACAAAGCCCACATGGCCTAACACAGACTGGAGGGCGACAGACCAAGTTCCGGGGCTACGACGGCAGCCACAAAGCTCTCTTCCTCACCGAAGCCAGTCTGGGCTGGGTTTTCTGCCACACACAATGTAAAGCACCCTAACTAGCAGGGATTTCCCCCTATTTTAATAGTAAAGGTTCTATAAGTCCCCCATTTCGTCACACCCTTTAAGACTCTAGGACTCCTCGGTGCTCTAGAACAAAGAGCCACACAGAGGAAGTGCCTCAGGGAAGAAACCCTGCTGCTTTTTGCCCAGGGTCGCCTGTGCACAGGCTTTCCAAGAAGACAAACATCCTGGTGGCTTCCCCTCACAGGCTCTGTTTGCGAGCACCCCGGCCGAGGAAAAGGCACAAGCCGCGTGGCCACAAAGAACCTAATGTCACCTGAGTCTCTCCAGGGGACAGAGGGTCAGCCTCTGGATGCAGCCTCATCTCAGAGACACCTGGGGAAGCAGCAC